TAAATAATAATTATATACCGTGTCTAAACAAACACCTAACCATGGTCAGTAAGATAAGGTACACTCAACTGACAATAGTTGGTAAGATAAAGAATATAAACGGCCGACCAGTGTCAACAACTTTCATAATATATATATATATATATATCAATAGAATACAACAATTATTAAATATTATTTTGGTACTAGGAATATTATTTATGTGATTTTGTAATTTCAACTTGAAACAAAATGATAAAAAATCTAAAAAAAAACTTTTCATACATAGAGAATCACATTTCAAGCTTATTGCCAAAAAACAATTTTTAACAAGATTTATAAAGGCATTTATTGTAGGCGTTTTTACCCTAATAGACCTAATATAAATGACATAATTAATGTACCTAAAACACAAAAAATATTTAAGGTTAAATTTCAGTATCACCACATTCAGTCTCAGTGTTTAGAATGATTTTATGTTCCCTATAGAAGTTAAACAATTTCACATATCATTATTAACCACATTTAATTAATTGTCTAACTCACAATGGAGTAGTTKAATATTTTAAACATTTGATAAATTGTGGCGATAACAGGTCAGCAAATAACTGTAAACATTAATAATATCTTTGTCAGTGTTGGTGTAGGTAGGATGTAAAGAAATACATGACTAATTTATAATTAGTTTATACATTTATATATTATTTATTATAACTAATTTATACCCTAATTTCTTATTCTTGTTTAAAAATCATAAGCAATTGTTTTATTTGACACGATTGTGGAAATTGGATTCACAAATGGAAAACTGGTTATAATATAAGTTTTTGTTATTAATTATTATAATGCCAGTTAATAAAACATTTCAGTGTAATATAATATTAATATTACCATTTTATACGAAATTAAATTTTGGATTTTTCAAGTTTTTTCAAATACCTATATGTTGGCRAAAATTGTTTTTCAGAGAAAAATAGCTTAAATAAAATAATAATGTTTGTCTCTTGTAGTTAAAAAAAATTGTTTTAAAGCATTTATAAACATTAAAACTTGAGGTTTTGTAGCATGACTGTACTATACACGTTATACAAATACAATTTTTATACAATGGTTTATTTTTACATTAATAGTTTCAAATTGATATCACAATATCAAATTATAATATACTTTATTATGTATAGATCATATTATCAGTAAAATGTGATTGAAGACTAAATTATGCCCAAAATAATATATAACTGTATTTCTATTAATTTGAATACATAGGCTATTGACAATGGTCGGGCATACCTATCTAGATGGTCAGCCATCTAGACACAGCAGAAATTAGAATACATAAATAATATGTCTAATATATGATAACATAATAATTAATTTAAGATAGTATAATTAAAAACAGTGGCTCAACATAAACAACAAAACACTTAACAATTTAATTTGAATTCAATGATAAAACATTCCATAATACACAAATCAATTCTCATAGATGGTTTCTGTCAGCCTATATTATTACTCAGTAGGTATATTTTATTATACATTTATATTGCCATTATATTAACTTATATTATTTTACTATTAGTACTTACTACTTAGGTAGTAATATTGTAGGTTGGATAAAAAATAAAATTTAAAATTCAAGAATATTATCCAACAAATAGATATACCGAAAAATGTATTTATACAAAAAATAAATAAAATCTAATATTGAGATTGGAAGAAAAAAAATGTTGAATTCAATGTATGGTTGTAAAACATGGATAATGAATGAACAAAACGAAATTAAGCTATCCTCAATTTTCCTGTGCATTACATTTTCTGCCAATCATTGGTCGCATATATTAAAGCATGAAAATCGAAGAACCATACACATAGAAAACAGTGGAAATGGGCTAACAAGATTCAAATATGTATTGTTGCAAACATACCTTTTATATTTAGTCATGGTCTACATAATACATTTATTAATTAATTTTCATAATATGGTATGTTAAATGTTATGATATAGATATAGATGTATATATTATATAAATAATTGATAAGTAAATATTTATTTTTAATTTTTAGTAAGGTAGTTAACTTTAAATTATCAAGTATTTTCTAATTTATACAATATATAGCTATAAATTAATTAAATTTTCTGACATAGGTGTATCTAGACCTTTGACACAGGAGGTGCAACCTGGTGCGTACCCAGGGGTTAAGGGGTAATTAAATTAAATTAAATCCTCCCACCTTTTAAACAATTTTTGGTATTCTCAAATTCGTCATTATTATGTCTATGATGAATTTAAAAATAATATTGTTCCCATTTTAAATTATATAACATAACGGATGTCAGTCGATAAACAATTAAAATAAAATTAGATATAAATAATAAATATAATATGTCAATTAGTAACAGCGGTCACGATAAATGGAGGCGAGTGCAAACATATCTGAGGTGCACTGGTGCTACATAATGTGTTATTATTATAATTTTCTTATTAAACTTTATTTATTTATTTGTTATTACGAGATGGTGACGACGCAAGCGGAAACTGTTCCTACAATTTGTCGATCACAGATCCTAACGTAAATCTGTGATTATACCAGTCCCACAGACATACCTTAAATTTAAAGGGGGTGAAGGTGCAGCCCCTGTGGACACACCTTATTTTTAGAAGTTAAACACCAATAGTGCTAATAGACCAAAAATATATTAATGGATCATCCATTATAAAAAATTTTGAATACACACTTGACACACAATGTAACTACATTTTAATTAGAGATCTCAGATTTATTATTTTTAAGACTGGACATACTAAATACACCACATACAGCATATTTTGCAAAATKAATGTATTTTAAAAATATTTATAATGTTAATATAGCAATGAAAATTATAGAAGTTGTACATAATATTGCACATACAAAAAATACAAATAATACAACTACTGAATATAAATAAATTA